AAAGTAAAAGTTCGTTCAATACAGTGCCTAGGTGGAAATCGGGGTTCGAGTGAGGCGGGACTGCAAAGGAGAGACACACTTTGCCCTCGCACTCACCCTCGTCCCCCCACTCAGTGTCCACCTCTTCAAACTGGCCAGAATCGTTCACCGCTTCCATCATCTTCCCTTCGCCAGACTGTCCGCTCGGCTGCCATCTTGCCAAGTCGCACAAAAGACGAATACAGATGCGACAACAGAAATAATTTCGCTTTTGATGCAAACGCCAGCGGGCCTGCATCGAGTGGAATCCAATCATGGAGTCATTTCCGATATTGAGTGGTAAACCGTGATAAGATGATTGGCAAAAAGCCGGGAAGTCGAATAGTATGGAAGCACAAAAGCAACTAAAATATCACGCAAAATATATTATTACTAGTAGTATTAGTATTCCATTGATTTCTCTTGTATGCTCGTTTCCTTCCGGGTCCCAACCAAAGACGTAAGGTCAGAAATGACATTTTCACTGAGTAAAAGAAAAAAAATGAAAAAAAAGGGCTACCTAAGTCCACACACATTTTACATAGATAAAATCCCTTCGTAAGTTGTGAGCTGTACTTGTGAGAAATATTTTTGTATTTCTTTAAGGCATGGACTTCCAGGAATACATTCAATTAGTCCATCGGAATCTATTCCAGTCAAACCGAAGGTTCCAATTAAAACTGGAATTGTTAATGTCCCCATGTGTCATATTCTTTTCACTTAGTGACAAAACAGCACGCCAACAGAGTGACTCTTATTATTATTATTATTATTTCTTTTCTTTTCTGTTGTTTACGCATTCCTATCGGGTCCCTACAAGTGGCCTGAGGTCAGAAATGGTACCATAACATTTTTACCCACACTCTACATTGATAAAGCCCCTCATGAAGTTCTGGCTGTACTCATGAGAACAACCTCGTGTATTTCTTTAAGCCATAGTCTACTAGGAAACCCTTCAATGAGTCGATCAGAAACTTTTCCAATCAAAACCAGGGCCTTAACTACAACTGGAATTATTGCCACCGTGCCAAACCTTTGAGATTCCACGTCAAGGTCACTGGATTTTGAAAGCATTTTGAAAATCCTCCAAAATTATATTAAAGACTACAGGAAGGCTCATGTCATTAAAAAAAGCACATTTGATTATTGGGGTCTTTGATAAAAATGTCTTGCCGATTAGCTGTCATTGTTCTGTCTGTGTGTATTGTAAAGTCTCATAAAAGTGTTGCACAACCTTTGTCTGTAACCGTGCAAGAGTGGTATGCATACCATTTTCTTGCAGATTATTTCACAGAAAAGATTTTTCAGTGCAGACTTTGCCCGACCCTGTAAGGCTGAGTTTTATATTTGTTGGATACTAATAACGTACAAATTGATACAAGACTGTCAATTGGTTCTGATTATTCGTCATACAGAGTGAATTATTATTATTTTTATTATTGTTGCTGTTGTTGTTGTTGCTTCATTTCCTTTGATTTCTTCTGTATACTCATTTCTTTCCGGGTTCCGACCAGAGACCTAAGGTTAGAAATGGCATCATGGCATTTTCTACTGAGCAGTATTGAAAAAAAATCGCACATATGTTACATAGATAAAGCCCTTCATAATGTGTGTGCTGCACTTGTGAGTACAATTTTTTTTATTTTTTTTAAAGCGTGAACTACCAGGGGGCCCTTCAATGTGTCTACTGGAATCTTTTCCAATCAATCCGAGTACTCCAACTACTACTGGAACTATTGATGTCCTTATGTCCCGAAGTTTTGAGATTTATATTTCAGGGTCTTTGTTTTTTCAAGATCTTCAAAGATTCATTGGAGTCTGCAGGGACTGCCATATCAATTAGGAGCCACATTTTATCTTCGCGGTCTCTTCTTCTTCTTCTTCTTCTTCTTCTTCTTATTATTATTATTATTATTATTATCAAGACCCGTGTAACTTACACAGACTTGCTAATAAATTTTGTAATGCTGCATTTTCATTCCATGACCATTTCCAGATATTTATAAGAGAATGTCATAATCTTTCTTTAATAATTAAGTATAACTCAAGACTTCAATGTTAAAATAAAACAGTATTTAATTACAACTGCAATCAAATGCTTAACAAAACAAAGAAGTAAAAGCAACCAAAGATAATTAACCATTTCAGTGAATACCTTCATAGTTGTGCATGGGCTAAAAGGAATCCCGTCAAAGAGTCTATTGGAATCTTTTCCAATTAATACAAGGGCTCCAACTACAACTGGAATTGGTAATGTCCCCATGCGCCATATTTTTGAGATTTCTATTTCAAGGTCCTTGTATTTTGATAGCTTTTTGAATATCTTCAAAGACACAGTGCAGTCTGTAGGGACTGCCATGTCAATGAAAAGACACATTTTGTCTTTGCGGACTCTAAGCACGACGTCTGGAATATTAGCTTTTTATGTTCTGGAAATTGTGAAGTCCCATAAAATTGTTATAGATCTTATCTTCGTAACCAGGTCTTACCATTTTCTTGCAGTTTCCGTTTCGTAAAAGTTTCAGATCTTCCAGTGCAGATATTGGCCCTCTCTCTTTCTCTCTCTCTCTCTTCCAGGAATTCCTTCAATTAGTCTACTGGAATCTTTTCCAACCAATCCGAGGGCTCCAACTCCAACAGGGATTCTTGATGTTCGCATGCGCCATATTTTTGAGATTTCGATTTCAAGGCCCTTGTATTTTGATAGATTTTTGAATATCTTCAAAGATACATTACCGTCTGCAGGGACCGCCATATCAGTAAGGAGTCCATTATTATTATTATTATTATTATTATTGATTACTGTTGAATACACTTTTTCTTCTGGGTCTCAAACAATGACCTGAGGTCAGAAGTGGCTTCATGAATTTTTACACTGAGCATTTTTGTAAAAATAAGCCCTAAGATGACACACATTTTACATAGATAAAGCTCTTCGCAGTGTGTGAGCCGTACTTGTAAGTAAAATGTTTTACATTCCTTTAAGTAATGGGATACAAAGTATCCCTTCAATACGTCTATTGGGACATTTCCAATCAATCCGAGGGCTCCAACTACAACTGGAATTATTGACGTCATCATGTGGCACATTTTTGAGATTTCCTATCGAAGATTTTTGTATTTTGAAAGATCTCCAGAATTATATTCCAATATGCAAGCACTGGCATAACCATAAGAAGGTACATTCTGTTTTTGTTTTCTTTGACCACGATGACTGTGCGATTAGATTTGACTGGTCTGCCTGTATGGATTGTAAAGTCCTATAAAAAAGGGCCCTATGACATTAACCAGGTGTAGGGGATATTCATAGCAGTATCGTTTAGTTACCTTTCCGTAAAAGTTTCATATTTTCAAGTGTAGATATTAAATCACTCTATCATTTCAAATTTTATATTCAATGAATGCTAATAACGTGCAACCTGTTACAAGATGGTCAATTTTTTCTAGATATTCACCACAGAATCTGAATGAAAGCCATCACATTTTTTCAGTATGTTTGCTTGCCATTTTTCTAGTTAGCAAGCATTGGACCTGTGCAGCAAAAATAAACATTCATTTTCAGCTTTTAAACCTGTACTATAAAACGCTCACTGTGTATGGGGTTAATCTACATCAGCTTCTTTTGTAAGGGCAGATTATTTACCAGGAAGAGGCGTATCTTGCCATCGTTTTTCAGTAAGTTAGCTTGCCATTTTCTAGTTAGCAAGGATTGAATCTATGCAGCAAAAATAAACCTTCAATTTCAGCTTTTAACCCTGTACTATAAAACGTTCAATGTGTATGGGGTTTATCTAGATCAGCTTCTTTTGTAGGGACATATTATTTGCCATGAAGAGGCTTATCTTGCCATCGTTTTTCAGTATGTTTGCTTGCCACTTTCTAGTTAGCAAGCATTGAACCTGTGCAGCAAAAATATTATTCAATTTCAGCTTTTAAATCTGTACTATAAAACGTTTATTTAAAATGAAGATGATTATCTTGCTATCGTTTTTGCATTTGGGTCATTGCATATGCTTTTGCCTTTTCTTTCTTTTTAGGTTATCTGTCGCTGCAGCAGGTGCATTATGGTTTATTTGCACTTCTTCACCCGCTTGGAATTTCCCTTTGGAATTTGTGGGCTTCCATTATTACTGAATAACGTTTCTTATTCCTTTCATATTCTTTGACATAGATCAGCATCCAATCTTCTGTAGTTTCGAGGTTTCTTGAAGTCCGATTGTTGTCATTTGATAAGAGAGTTCTGTTAACCAAAGGTAATTAACCATTTCAAGGTCCTTGTATTTTGATAGTTTTTTGAAGATCTTCAAAGATATATTGCAGTCTGCAGGAACAGCTATGTCAATCAGGAGGCACATTTTGTCTTTGCGGTATTATTATTATTATTATTATTATTATTATTATTATTATTATTATCAAGACCCGTGTAACTTACACAGACTTCCTAATAAATTTTGTAATGCTGCATTTTCATTCCATGACCATTCGCAGATATTTATACGAGAATGGCATAATCTCTGTTAAAACACAGAAATGTGTTTTAATGCACAGCTTCGTTAATTATGGGAAACCATTTTCCATAAAACGGAATTAGATTTTTGTCGCTTATGGTGGACGTTCACAATTAAGTATAACTCAAGACTTCAATGTTAAAATAAAACGGTATTTAATTAAAACCGCAAATAAATACTTAACAAGAACAAAGAAGTAAAAGTCAACCAAAGATAATTAACCATTTCAGTTAATATTTTGTTAGTAGCGCGGCTCGTCTTAACGTCCGGTAAATCCTGAATCAAAACCCAAATCATCAACGCACAATAATTCACACAAATTCGACTGGATAGTTCCACTCAATTGTCACAGAATAATCACTCCAGTCAGTAGCCTGACACCGCTATTTATCCACCTCGCGGAAAACATATACTCATAATTCCAGAATATCACGCTCGAACCTCGATGTTGGTAGTTACTCATCTTCTACATACATGACAGCTCATTATCTATCTATCTATCTATCTATCTATCTATCTATCTATCTATCTATCTCAGTCTATTCATTTCTAGCTTCAATCTGTTCATATCTATTTATCTCAGTCTTTTCATATGTATCTATTTATCTATCTATCTATCTCAGTCTGTACATTTTGTGACGTACGGTGGCTGTTAATAATTAAGTATAACTCGATACTTCAATGTTAAAATAAAACAGTATTTAATTACAACCGCAAATAAATACTTAACAAGAGCAAAGAAGTAAAAGTCAACGAAAGATAATTGACCATTTCAGTGAATACCATGTTAGTGTTGCGGCTCAGCTTAACATCCAGTAAATCCTAAATCAAAACCTAAACCATCAATGTACAATAATTCACACTAATTCAACTGGATAGTTACAATCAATAGACACGCAATAATCACTCACCCAGTCAGTAGACTTACACCGTTATTTATACAACTGGCGGAAAACAGGTTCAGATTATCAGACTCGAACCTCAGAGTCGGTAGTTACTCGTTTTCTTCTTATATGACAATAATAATTATAAATTATATATATTTTCCGTGAATGAAGGGGAGTATTAGAATTACCTGTTTTAATTTTTCGCAATTGAAGCGAATGGGTCATGTGCAACCTGCAGATGTAAGTTATGCGAGCATTACAAATGGACAGAAATAAAACTGAATTTCTGCAATGCATCTAGTTTTATTCCAAAGATTTTAGTATTACTAATGTTCTCGTAAAGATTTCAATAATTTACAATGTTTTTACAATATGAGTGAGCTCAAAAAAACAAAATGACAATGTACCTATTTATATATGACGATGGAAACATGGAATGCGATCAAATTGTTTACAAATAAATATATTTTAATGTTGTCCCATACATACAGTGTTGGACAAAATAACGATAGATTTGTGCATATAAGACGCTGGAATGTTTATCGTTGCTTGAAAATCTTCCATGTAAACAGAAACAGACTATCGTCACTGTCTTGTCCGTGCATTGCTTAATATATTGTAATATAATTGTCATCTTTGATAATAGCTTATGTAAGCCGAAAGCTTAGATAAGATTAAAAAATATGTATCAATATTGTAATTTTCTTTCTTCGTTTAATGATAATGTTATTAAGCTTATCAGACGATATGAAAAGAATTTACATAAAATAAATAGATAAAAACTGTCTATATTATTTAATGAAACATGTACCAATGAAAAAATGCTGCCTAAATACACACACACACGAATATATACACATATATACATATATATATATATGAGAGAGAAAATGATAGAGATAGAGACTTTTTAAGTGTATTCCGTATTTCTAATCTTCTAATCTGGCAAACCTACCATAAAAAAAATTCGATTCTTTCTAATTGCTAAGACGGTCAAAAAAATAAAAATAAAATAAAAAAATAAAAAATAAAGACATTACTTTTGGACAGTTTATCCATCAATAAGGTCCCGATGTAGATCTTTTCCGGATATTGGAAAGTACTATTTACCAAAATAAAGGCAGACAAAACGTGTCTGTTAAATTTAAAAAAAAATCGACTGTGTGTACACACACACACACATAAGTCTACCATTCGTATATGCATCGAATATTGCTTTCATATTTAGTTTCGTGCTAATGATACGTATTTAGATATTCTAGATAAAAAAAAAAACAACGAAGAATCTGCAATATTATTAGTCCTAATCTGGCATCTCGATTTGAGAATGTTTCGGCAGAAGAATGGACAAAATAGAATTCAAGCTGTAAATACTACCAAAGGCGCTCCGACGCCATATTAAAATGAATTTGAAATTTCCAAGTGTTTCCATTATTTTACCCAACCCCTTAATGAGCACATGCTGATGTCACATGCAAACATAGCATAAAAAATGGAATTCTTAACAGGTACGAAAGTATTTAAATTAATGGTAATATTTACTACACCAATGAATAGCACAGTCTGCTACTGGGATACAGAAATGAACTCGGGTCCTGGGCCCAGGTCTGTGGTAGACTGTGCAGCCGCAGAACTAACCAAACTTAACTGTTCCCCGAATACACTTATAGAGTCAAGTAATTGGTATTAAATTGCATCGTAAATCACGATATTTCTGGGAGACAAACGAAAAGCGTAGGTCGTATACGAGGAATAAATAGGCCGATGTAGGGACTTAAATACACTTTTTAGCCGCAAAATAACCGCACATTACGCTAGTTTGTGTCCAGAAAATCGACTTCGGTCGGGTACTTTACGAGTTAAAATTTGTTCAATGGAAATGTTTGTAAATCGATACCCACGTTGTAAAACCAAAACAAACCAATCTGT